TTCAGGGAGACTATGTAGAACGCACCGAGTCCGAAGTCGTCTGCCATAGTAGTTGTCTTGATTCGGACTCGGTGCGTTCTACATAGTCTCCCTGATCACAAGACCAAGTTGCGACAACGAAGTCAACCCACTTTTATAAAATAGTTGGTTCTTATCATTTGGTTAATCGATTGGGTTGGGGACTTTTCGGGTAGGCTCCGTATCCACGATATCGTCTTCTATTTTCAAGATTGCCACTAATTTCATGAGAGCTTTTTCTTTTGGAATATTTTTGTATATGGCCTGTACATCAAAGCTCACCAATTTACTTCATTTTGCTGCCTTTGATCCTTTGGCCAAATTCGTCATCGTATTCAACAGTTTGTCATTCATTTTCTTTACTTTGAGGCATTTACATTTCGTCAGTTTATGTATTGCTCCGTGTTTTTTTTTGTTGACCACCAGTCTCAATGGTTCTCCTTCCTTGTATACTTTCGGCAAAGTCTGCTTCTGGGGCTCTTGCATCTTTTCGCTGAAGAAAGTTCATTTCCAATCGCGTGATTTCACCATTGGTATTCATTTCCTTCAGCATTTCTTGCGTAGCACCTTCGATTTTAACTGTTGGTTTTTTTGCTGGCAGTCGATAATAAGTTATGCCCTCGAGATTATTTTATTTATTTTCTCTGTATTTTCCTTTCTGTCCATCACTATTATGGCACCTCCCTTGTCAGCACGTAGAACTATTTGATCGTTTTTTTTCAATTTTATATATACAGTGATTATATCCTTCCAATTCATGGGTTCTTGATGCGTCATGATTGTTGTGATGATTTCCACTTCTGGTAGCCTCTCAGAGGTATTTATGATCGCCACTAAAATGCGTGGTTTTGAGATCAAGGGGTCGGAAGACAGATTAACTATTCTATTTTGATCTCTTGTCTGAACTGTGAGATTCGTAATTTTAGAGGCTATTTCGTTTTTGCCGTATTGTTGGACCTTGGACTTTCTATACATCCCATATTTATTCAGTTTCTTCTCGTGCCTTTTTTGAATTGAGTCCGAGATCCTTTTTGACATGTTCTGTCATCTCTACTAGTCATACAAAATCCTCCGGAGTGAGAATCCGATTCAAGTCTTGCCTGAATCTAGACTTAATATTTAAAAATTATGTTTCTTATAGTCGTCTTGTGGGTCATTTAATCATTGTGGCTATTCCGAGTCGACTTTTTGCCTTCCCAGGCCCTTTAAAATAGTTTCATTTAGCGTTCGCATTCTTATTTGTCAAATTATCTCGTGGACTTCACGAATAACCACTGTCTTCTTCATTAGCCTATTAAACTTATGTCTTCTTGTTATCTGAAACGAAAACATCGCCTCTCCTCTTGTACCAAAGGCTCGCTATGAGCGCAACCGCATGGAGTTGAGTCTGATGTCCGAGGCACAAGTGAAGGCGGCCATCTTACGCGACCAGGAGACTCTGCGCAGACTCGTCACCGACCAGCGCCAGCTGGAGAAGAAGCTGTGGACAGCGGTGAACGCGTTCTCCCAGCTACAGCAGACCATGTCGGCAGGGGCGAATTCTCAGGTTCCACCCGGACCTTTTTTCAGAGCAGAGCTGCCCTCGGCCACAGGACTTGCGGCAAAAAAACTCGCTTTCATCACCACGAATAGGGCATCGTCTTCACCGTTCATTTCGCCCTCAAGAGGCGCTTCTGTCTCACCTGAAATCTCGACGTCGATTGCATGTCCGCCTGGACTGCACACCGGCCCGGCTCCGGCCACTGATCCAGCCAAACATTTCCCAGTTGACCAGAACGATTCCTCGTCTCTAGTGCGTCGTTCGGTTCCAACGCCCGGGCAGAATACCAACTTGCCCCTACAGCAAAGACAAAAGCAACCACAACAACGTAAAGAGCAACAACATGGTCGGATGCAGCAGCTGTCCTCGGCATCGCAGCGGCTTTCGTAAGTCACATCTTTTGTTGCTCCAAGGCAACCTTTCGATAGTTGATCAGCTTTTCTAACAACAAGTGAACTATCTTCCTGCACTCGTCAAAATCAAGCTATCCCATTATTGAAGTCTTGGTCTTGTTGTCAGGGCGATTTAGTTGAACCCCCTTATCCGAAGTCCCCTGTCTTAGTAGTTAGCATAATTCCCAGCGTCAAGTCGTGGACTTGGTACATGCTCAGATTTTTCGCCGACATTATCATTCTCAGCGCCAAGCTGCCAAATGATAGCACGACTGCTTCGGCATAGACCTGGTCAAGGGATTGACTTCACTTAACTCTTCGAAGAGATATAGCTAGGCGCTGAGAATGGAAAGACGCACTGATGATACCGGCGAAACCTCTGAGCATCTACCAAGTCCACGGCTTGACGCTGGGAATTATGATAACTACTATGCCAGGGGACTTGGGACAAGGTTCGTCCAGCTAAATCGCCCTGACAACAAGACCAAGTTGCGAAAACGAGGTCGACCCACTTCTATACATCGAAAGGAGATTGAGATCATACCGAGGTCTGCACCATCTTGCTCGTCATATCTTCGATTATCCCATTCTTGGCTGCTCTTTATTGGTGGCGACTTTTTTTCGTGTGAAAGTTCCCGGTCGGCTCATTGTTGGTTATAACCACCTTCACATTCGCTCAACAGTCCTTTTGGGTTTACCATCTTAACTAGGGTTTCCATGTTTTTCTTTGAGTCGTTAAGCCTTGATGGCCCTGGGCTGACGTTACGCCCTAATGTAATTACTCATACTTATGACTGGAGATTGGTACTCTCGTTTCCATGACTACAGACGCGAGCATACACACATACACCCATCTATATAACTACTTGGATTGATATACAAAAGTCCTTACAAAATTATTTGTTTTCATCTTGACTTTTGAGCTTATATAGCTTGTAAGGCAGCCGACTAGTCTTATCTCTGTTTTAACTTGAATCCTTTGCAAGAACGAGTTCCAGTTCTGATTATGCCTGTCAAGTGGCAGGATGGACATAAGCTTAGCCCCTTTTTCACCCTTACTTTTTACTGTGTCAACCTCAACGTTATAATAAATTCATGCAACTTAACAACAGCGGCAATCGACAGTCTTTATTTGGTGATATCGTCCTACGATTCTCTTACTCAGACACTTTTACACATCAAGACCAACCTGCTCTTCTTATCTTTCTGTTTTTCTGCTTAAACGTTTTGTCTGGAGGTGCAAAATGAAGATATTGGTTGGTTGATCTAAGAAAATATCAAATTGAAGCAGTCGGTTTTCCAGACGTCTTTCGCTAGCTAAAAGTTTGTCAAAATTTTAAATTGGGCTTGCTTCTTAATTGTACAGCTTAGGGTCTTTTATTATTTATGACCTATTAGGAATCTGAAATGGTTTTCAGCCTTGACGATTTTGGTAATACGGTACAATCTAATTAGAAATATGAAAGGTATTCACTCTATTTCGTTTTAGCTGATGCAGGACTGGTAGTTGAATTTTTGCACAATGATATCAGTAGAGCTGACGTTTCCATTCAATTTCACATAGTCTTGCTTTCCCAACGGATTTTCGCATCCCGGCTAGAGTGGATGGAAATTCGACCTCGCATTCTTTGGTTCTTATCAACACTCCCAGCGGGAGTCGAACCATGACAAGTTAATCACCACTATGTGAATTTCAAATTGAAGCAGTCGGTTTTCCAGACGTCTTTCGCTAGCTAAAAGTTTGTCAAAATTTTGAATTGGGCTTGCTTCTGAATTGTACAGCTTAGGGTCTTTTATTATTTATGACCTATTGGGAATCTGAAATGGTTTGTAGCCTTGACGATTTTGGTAATAT